GAGATTTTCAAAAAAACAGATTTTTGGTTTTTTTTTCCCGTATTATATTGATTTCTGCTCTTATTTTTATTATTTCTATTCCTTCCTTTTAATTCTCTTTAATTTTTGCTTCATTTATTTTGAAGCACTATTATTTTTTTCACTGTTTCGCGTTTATCATTACTCTTTTATCGTTATCAAACGTCCTGTTTAAAGACTGATACATAATGAGAATGGTTATTGTGTGAAAAGAAGGTGGAAGGAAGTAAACGGTCTGGGTAACTTTTCAAATAACCAAGAGGTGACTGTTTTTAAAGTTAATTGTCATTTTCTCAAGGGTATAATATCTGAACTCTGATGAAACTTAAATCTCTGAACAAATCCAAGACCATTCCATGTTCTAGGTTTAAATCGGTTGTGAAACACTTATTGAATCTAATTATAATAAACACTTGTTTAAGATGTATCAATGAAAAACTCTGTCATAATGTTAAAAAGATTTTTCACTTAATTCTGGCAGTTTTTAAAGAATTGTACCAATTGTTAATAAAGACCTTGGCGTCTATGCTCTGTGTTGGATCAATAAAAAATAATTCAATTGCAGAATGATCCATCACTGTTTCCAGTAATACTGCTACACCCATTTCCTTTTAATGGCTCATCAGTTATGTGATTGCCACGAAGATAATGAGGACACTCATTTAGCAACATATTATTACATCATCTTAACATGAAGTAAGGCCCATCAGGCATCATTAAATTAGCCTGAATTTTACAGTATGTCAGCAGCATTTCATGTACATTAATAGCAAAGTTAATGTTCCCTGGGGGATTCTGTTAAAGAAAACTGATTCCAAGGTGGCATTTGGATATAATTTTGCAGTCACTATTTATACTTCCTTCTATCATCATTGTGTGGGTAAGATTTTTATGCCATTTGTGAACAGGCAGAAGAAAATGGCAGTTAATGAGTTGTTTCAGTGTATTTCTTTTTCTCCTCTGATCCATCATAATACATACTGTTAGGAATACAGGGTCTTTCTCTGAATAGGAGTGATGTACCTTTCTTAACTCTTGAATTTCCTGTGTTTACTCAGGCCTAAAATCACCTGGTATTATCCATCACAATTTCTCCTAGCAGTTGCAGTCAGAGGTAAGTAACAATAAGAAACAGCAAAGCCATTGTTTCTTCTGCAATGAAGACTTCTTTTAAGAGTCCTCCCGTCTTCACTGATGCTGTCTGTCCTTGCTGCAGTACAGTCTTCTCTCCTCTTTGCTGAAATGCGGGTTCATGCATTGCCTTTGTGAATTCTTCAAAAATGGAATCTTTGGCTCACTTGAATGCCTTTTCATCTTCTTGTATATAGCAATATTGTTGTTTAGCATTTCATACATTCCAATAACTTCGTTTTTCTCTTTTTCATAGGCCTGCCTTCTCTCTCCAAAATACTTATAAATAGTTGTCCAATGGTGATATTATTTTCTTCTTTTTTTATACTCCATAAATGCTTAGAATTGGCATATAGAGAGGAGGTGGGTTTTTCAAAGCATGATCCCCAGTCCATTTGAGTTAGTATCATTTATGGCACCCATTAAAAGTATAAATCCCCAGGTCCCTCCTTGACCAAGAAAAGCCCTGGTGGCACAATGGTTAAGTGCTTGGATGCTAACCAAAACGTCAGTGGTTCAAACCCACCAGCTGCTCCACAGAAGAAAGATGTGGCTGCTTCTGTAAGGACTACAGCCTTGGCAACCCTACGGGGCAGCTGTACTCTGTCCTATAGGGTCGCTATGAGTTGGAATCACCTCAATGGCAATGTGTCCTTGACCAAACAAATTAGAGTGGGAGGGATTAAGGGCACAGCCTAAAGGATTTGAGGGATTGTTGTGCTGCAGGATAATCATATCTTAGTTGTCACAGTGAAAAATATCAAGTGTGGGTACAGAAGTTTTATCACTTGTTAAATGCACGGCCTTGATCAAATGACTTACCATATTTTTATGCAAATAACGCGTGCCTCCTACATTTGTTTGCCAACCCCATCCTCCCCCTTCAAGGTATTTTCGTAAGCGCCACTATGCTAATTTTGTTTTTATATGTTGCTGTAAAAAAAAATGTTAGCATAGTGCGCTGACAAAAATACCTGGAGGCGGGGAGGGCGTGGTTGGCAAACAAGGCATGCGTTATCTGTGTAAAAATACAGTAACCTGGAGAATCCCTGTCTTCTAACCTGCAAAACGGGTTGTTTTGAAAGAATTAAATGTACTCATATTTACTTAAATCAATGCCTGGCTCAGTAAAAGGTAGCAATTGTTATTAGAATCCTATGCACCTAGACTTAAAAAATTTTTTTTTGATATGAGAATTAAATCTGCTACAAGTGCATATTAACACATGACAAAAACTGTTAAGATTTATATTTGCAAAACTGGAGAATTACATAAATACAGGTTATCATCAATTCTAACTAAATAGCAATACCTTGGCCAAGGGGGTATATACTAATACCTTGGGCAAAGGGGTATAAAAATATAAGCAAAAATTAATTAATACAAGCCTTAACTTCCTGACTCATCAGATGCAGCTGTACTTTCAAAGAGCTTTTACAATATTTTTTTTTTCTGAGGTTTACCAGTAGTGTTAGCATTAGACCAGAGGTTCTTAAATTTTTTTGGTCTCTTAAAAATAATATTAAGAACTCAAAAAAGCTTTTTTTAAATGTCAGTTATATAACTAGAGAAATTTTTTAAAAATTTGTATTTATTTTTCAAAATGCTTTCACAAGTGCACGGAATTTAACTTTTAGAGATTTACAAAGTAGGTAAAAGAAGAAACTGCTAACCCTATTTCTCAAGTGAGGAGATCAATGCAGAGACGGGATGTGAAACCAAGTCTTCTAATTCTAAATCTTATATTCCTTCCATTTTATCACCCTCAACTATCATTCACTGACCTGTAAACCAGGAACTGACAACGGCACTTTCCTCTACCTGGTAACAGGTAATCACACCTGTCATGGTGTTACGGGGCATTCTTATGCCATAAAAAAAAAGTGCAGGTTTCAGCTGGGCCTGATTAAGCTGCTGCTTTAGACTGACAATTGAGCGGTAAAGAACTGTAAGGTGAAGTAGGCTGGCAGCCAAATCTACTCAATGATATGTCACACTGGCAGTTTATACACCACCTTGTTATCTACAGGACTCTTTGTCGTTATGTTTACCAACTACTCATTGTCAAAGTAATGTGAATTAGTTTTTAATATTTTTATTGCTCTGAACAGATGCAGAAGAAAAGAGATGGTTAAGTGACCTACGAAAGTCGGATAATGAGAGGGATGCAGACAGGATGGCTAGGGCCCGCAGTTCAATTCATTAAAGAATTCAAATTCAGATTATGACATTCAAATAGCAACTTGTACCACAAAACAGAACGAGCTCGCCTATCAATTATAAATTAAATTACAGAAACATTACAATCACTGATGCCCACTGAATCTAGGCAAAAAGGAAAGATAGTGCGGTTTCTATCAGTGGACAGTACTAGAAACATAGAAAACGGCTGTTAGATCTTAGTTGGCCTCCAAGTACCATTATCCTGTTCTCCTTGAGCAAGGGTCTGAAAATCCCCTTAAAGGGGGCTGAAGTTCAGCTGCTGCTTTTATGCTGATCTACTGTGATCTGAATTAGCACTTACATTCTTTGGTTCTCTGAAATTTGTAATTGGCCATGAGTGATGTGCTAGTAAATGTTTAATAACTGCCTCTCCCCCTAACCCCACCCTGCAAAAAGCCCTAATTTGTAGTGTTTCTGATATTTCCACCATGGTGATGTCAACTAGCTTGCAAACTTCCTGAAAATTTAACAATGGGCTCTTGCGAGCTGGTAAGAGCTGGGTATGACAGAAACGTAATGTATCCATTTACAAATGGCTATAATAATTAAAGCTAACCATAAACACAGAAAACAAGCTAACTATTACCAACACCACAAAAAACTTAAAAACAAAAAATCACTTGGATAAGTACGACTGCTGGGTCAGAAGCCAAGAAATGTGGGTGTTAGTTCAGCTACATGTCCAACTCCGTGACAGCGAACAAACCACTTAATCACCCAGGCCCTACTTGTTGGGTTTACCAGTAAGAGGACTGAAATAGACCATCTCCAGTTTTTATATCATTGTACGATGAAAAGCTATATCACAAAACAAGTAAGTGTGTAAAGCTGTCTTAGAGGCAATTAAGCAATTATGGGCTATGCATTGAATGAAGTAGCATTAGTTAAAGTACTGGCTCCCATGCCCGCTCTGCCATCAGGCTGGGCTTCCTGAGAGGCTTGCAGGCTCCAGAAAATGAATATATTCTGTCACTCGTTTCTGTGCTTTTTGGTTTCATTCTCATGGGAGTCTGGGGGTAAACTGAGTGTTCAGGATTCTCAGTCTAAAAGTATGGGAAACAGAAAAAAGCCGAGGGGGGCATTAGTGGGAATGCAGCATGCCAGTGAGTGTGGAAGAGCTGAAACAAAGCTTCCAAGTCAAAGAGACCCCACGAAGCCTGAAAAAAGGTGGTTAGATGCGGGATTGAAATGAAAATACTTTCAATGTTAATAATAAATTTGATATTATAGGATATTCAAGCTATTTAAAGCAATCAATAATACATTCTTCAAGTTAAGTATCAGCAACTCTTCCTTCTCTGAGGGCATATGCAAAAACCATTTTCAGAAGGAATAGGCATTTCTGAAAGGGGCAGTTGGAGGTAACTGCTACGTCATTTCCAGGTAAAACTGAGGTGGGTTATGGAAATCTTTGATGACAGAGAGGACAATCTGGTGAACTAGGGAAGGGAAACCAATTTCAGCAGAAGGAGCAGAATAAACGAGATTATGTTTAACTGCTCAATAACTACCACATTTCGGAACAAGTACTGGTGAAATAAACTGGATACATTTCTATCTCCTATGCCATTAAAGCCTTTTTATGTGTTAAAAAATTATCTCACTGCTTTTATGTTCATTAAACTTACTTGACAGCCTGGTAATCCAGCGTCTCGGCTATACAGGGAAAATGAGCCTCTCTCTGATGTTTTCCCTATAAAACAAAACAATTTTATATAAAGACATTCATTTATTGACAGACGATCAATTCAACTTCCAGACTATTCATGCTAATTATACTGGGTTTTGGAAGTAGAGAACAAATTAGAAATAAGATGATAAAATCCAATAAATAAATTTTTATTCTAGTCAGTTTATGGGTCAAAGTCTAACTCTGTATATAAAACAGCAAGGGTTTTATAAAGTGCTTTATTTTTAATGGGAAGCATTTTCAGTATAGTCAAAAGAAGAAAAGAACAGACATCTAAACAGCCAACAGTATAACCCATCTATCTGCTGATGAGAATAACATATTCCCATTATTTGCTTCAGACTGAACATTTCTTCCTCTCTCTCAGGAATTAAAACAGCACAGATGCATCTCAAATCCTACCCCATACACCAAGGGAACCATTATCATGAATTCCGGGCATATGATTCCCCTGTATATTTTGTGTTTTCAATATATATGTTATATACTCAAACAACACACATCATTGTTTGTGCTTAATGCATTTAAACAAATCAGATTACATGGCATCTATCTTTCTGAAACTTGCGTTTTCATGCAATATTATGTTTTTGAGATCCATGCTCTTCATAGACACCCAGCTCATTTACTGTTACTACTGTAAACTGTTCCATTATACAGATAAAACCACAGTTCATCTATCCCCTACTGAAGGTCAGACTGTTTCTACCTTCCCTCTTATGAACAGTGCTGCAGCAAACACACTGGCACATTTCTTGCACGTGTACACAAGAGCGTCTCTAGGACAGACTCAAAGAAGTGCAACCGCGGGATTAAAGGTTGCACGCTTTCAACTTTATAGGTACTGCCTCACTACTCCCCAAAACGGCCGTGCCAATTTATACCCTTCCCAGCAATGTGCAATAATCCTGTTGGGACTATATCCGCAGTTCAGAATTAGATGGCCAAGTGTCAAGACGAGTATCTTGAGGGAGAGTGCAGCTTCTACAGTGCTGACAACTGACAGCAGTGTCCTTGCTCATTTCCTTACCTTCCTCGATTTGCAATATCCTGTGGTCTGAGAATGTTCAGTAAAGTGAATTGATAAATATTATATAGTTTTTAACCAAAAAGACCGTCAAACAGACAGGTGGCTTAAAAAGATTTCTGCTAAGAGATCGCAGTTTGATGCTAATACCAAACATGCAAGAACAAAGAAACAACAGGACAAATAAGTGACTCTTTTTCTCCATTTCAAGGTAAAAACAATAGCAGTGTAATTAGATCTAACCAGAAGTTGCCCAAAATATTTAAAATTATTGAGACTATGTGAACTTCACCATAGTTGCATACTAGACATTTAGTTATTAGCTTGTGATTATATAAAACTGTATAGTTCATTCATAAATAACTACACATAGATGAGAGGTTCAAAACTGTTTATTGATACAGTACTTGATTCAAAAAACAGAAAAATACTTGGGACATATCGGCTAAAATTCATTAAAGTACATACATGCCACGCTGGCTAATCCTGATGTGGGTATTTTACAACTGTAAATCTGACATTTACTGACCCCTTAGATAAGCAGAATAATTCTTGTAATAACAAAGCTAGTGATCAGAAAAATACTTTGACAATTAGGGATATAATTTCTGGGCCCACTAACGATATTACAGCACGTGTCTCTTCAGAAGCATTTCTTGGCGACTACTGATGAAATCACAGATTTCAGGGGAACAAACACCGACACAGAACAACGCAGATTTACGGAAGGTTGTTTAATGTGGTCGATCTGCTTTACATGTTCACTGTGTACGAGAACTTTACTATACAAAACATAAATATGAATTAAAAAAACCTACATGGAACTCTTTTAAGGAAGTATCTTTTATAAGCAAGACTGCTAGAAAGAGAGATGTCTTGGGGTTCTGGACTCTATTCTACTCTCAGGTAACCTAAGCTCACAAAACCATTAAAGGATTATACGCACTTGCAATTCTGACACACTCTCCCCCTCCCTGTACCTCATCAAGATGGATCAGAAACCTTCCTGGACCGAGAAGGTGCCAGAGACTGAAGGGAAATGTCAATTCGGAATGACGGGCAGAAAAGAGATTACGGGGGAGGAAAAAAGGGCAGGCTGCGTGCGCAGTTTGGAGGTATTCTTCTTTAATTAATACATCAAACAAGTTTGTGAGATATTAAAAATCATCCTCATACATGCTTTTAAGAAACTGTTCCCTTTAAAAACAAATCTCCTTTCACATACTTGGCAGCACGAAATTGGGAGACTACACTGGACTGTGTTACGTTTAAAGCAAATGCCATATACTAAAAAAACAAAAACTGAACAAAAAACCACAGAACTACACCTGTAGTTTTAGTCATTCACAATATGCTACTAACTCATTAGTGGTCGAAATACTCACCACGTTCCTTCTACCTTGCAAAAGTATTTTAAGTTGCTGAATTTCTGTGGTTTACACTAACCAGACTCAGTGTTTTCTAACCCCAAAGTGAGAACTGCTCAAGAAATGATAAATTATTCTAATTTGTGCAATGTTTAAAACAATCATTTAAGAAACATCAAATTACTTAAGTTCAAGAAATTATTTTACATGGTTATGTAAGATGCATGAACTATTACAGGCAACAGTTACTCTAACACATATTCTCAGAATTAAAAAAAAATCTAAGTCATCTTTGTTCCCAACCACTAACATTCTTCAAGTTGCAACTCTCAACAGCTTGCCTAAGCTCCACAAATACAAACTAATGTTAACATTAGCCTAAAAAGAACTCTGTTCAAAAGATAATTTTCTCTACATTCTTTTGGCAGAGGATATAATCGGCAGCTAAACGGAGGCAGGGAGTGGGCAGGCACAATGCCAGATCCCCATTCCAATCAGAAATATTCAAGAGTTGACTAGATGGAAGAACCTGAGTTCAGTACATTCCATCAAACATTTATGTGCTAGGTACTCTGATGGATGGTGAAGTTATGAGATGAGTAAGAGCCAAGCCTCTGCTTTCAACAGGTGCCAACTAGTGGAAAAGTTTACAGCCTGCCAAAGATGAAATTTCACAAGTATTGCTAAGTCGTTAGCTAGCCAACTCTTTTTATTAAGTGCAGTAGTAGAGATCTCAAAAATACAGAAGTTAGACAGTGCCACCATCCACATCCTGAGAATGGTGTCCTGTTTGACTCTTCCCGCACTGTGCAAATGTAAACCAAAGCAGCCCTCCCTGGTCAGGTCAGGTGTCTTGAGTTCCAGATTCAAAATGCACAGCAGGTGGTTCTAGGAGAGTGGTCAGGGGATGCTCTGGGGATTGGACAACCCCATAAACCTACTGGACCAGCGGATGCTCTGGGGATTGGACAATCCCATAAAGTCTACTGGACCAGGAAGAGAACTCCTATTCTCACTTGAATATGAGTTTAAACATCTAAGAGTGGAAAAATAAGTACCCTCTGGTCCTACTGAGGACCCTGATGGCACAGTGGCTAAGAGCTTGGCTGCTAATCAAAAGATTGGCAGTTCAAATCCACCAGCTGCTCTCTGGAAACACTATGGGCAGTTCTATTCTGTCCTGAAGGGTTGCTGTGAGTCGGAATCAACTTGACGGCAATGGGTTTGGTCTTTTTGAAGGTGGGGATGAAACTACCTACAACATAGAAGAAAGGCCTTTGGTGACAACAATATGACCCTTTAGGCAGCGACTTCCCAACTAAGGTGTTCTGGTAGGTAAGTTGTACTCTGCTGTACACGTGGTTTAGCACTGTCAAGTGGGTTTTCGTTTAGGCCCAGGTTATTCTGTCCAGAGGTTACTGGACAATTGATCTCAAGGCTAAAAGAAAAAAGGCACTGACTGGGACAAGCTGATCAAACACCACAGTAAACTGTGAGGCCAGGGCTGAGATGATCTACTTTGGCCTCAGTGCTAGAGAACGGGAACCAGGTTCCCACCTCTCACCTTATAGAGAACCAGGCCACAGATTTTTTCTTAAAACAATTGAATGGCTTAACGTAAGTTAAAGAACCAAGTAAAAAGGACAAAAACAGAATGGCAAAGAAGAGAAACGGAAAGGTAAAAAAACATAAGCGAGGAGAAACACTGAAAACTTCCCTCCCTTCAGCCCCACCTGAATTTTACACACTTCCATAAATCCAGTGTTATGAATAGATAGGCTTAAAAAAAAATCATACTCCATGAGGGCACAAACGAGATCTTTTTTACCTGAACTACTGTTAAACCAAGTCACTTTATCCAATAATTATACGTATGACTTTTCTAAACTTAAATGAAAAAGTTTAGAAGACCAAACAGACATGTTCAGCACCCAAGTTACTAGCTCTGAGTCACAGGGACTTCATGCTTATAGGACAAGTGAAATGTCCATTCAAGTCTTTTGCTTATTGATTTGTAGGAGTTCTTTACATATTCTGGATACAAGACCTTTTATTGGATCTATGTGAATATCTTCAGTATAGAATACTTTTTCACCCTCTTAATGATTCTGATGAATAGAAATTCTTCATTTTAATATAAGCCAACTTGTCAATTTTCCCTTTATGGTTAGCATTTCGTGTGTGTGAGTACCATTTAAGAAATCTCTGCCTATTCCAAGGTTACAGAGATATTTTTCTGTTTTCTTCTAAAAGCATTACTGCTTTATCTTTCACATTTAAATCTGAATTCGATTTTTGTGCGTGCCGTTAGGGAGTCATGATTTATTTGTTTTTCTGTACGGATATCCAATTGAATTCAGCAGCGTTTACTGAAAAGATGACTGGCATCTAAAACGTATCGCTACGTCTGCTGTGAGGAGAACAAAGCAGAGGGAAACAAGCGTGGAAGCAGAAGTGCCAATCAGAGGACTGTTGAAATAATCCAGGTGAAAGCTAACAGTGGCTTTAGTTCTTCCAACCTACTGAGGCAGGTACTATTAAATTCCCATTTTTACTTATGAGGATAAATAATTTGCCCAAGGTTGCAGAATTAGTAAGTAGCAGAAAGA